CGGGCGGCGGCCTCTCCGGGGCGCCCGGCGGCGCTGCTGACCTTGGGCCCGCCGCCCGCACCTCCCATGACAGGGAGCTCCCCGGGCGGGTAGCGGGGGCGCCGCGAAGGAGAGGGTGGCGAGGTGAGGGGCGCCGCGGCGGCCCTGGCGGGGGACGGAGATTGAGGGTTGATGTGGTAAAACTGTATGAGCAGAGGTAGCTTTAACACTAGCTTTAATATTAACGCTAAATAACAGCGTGCCTCCCGAGACGGTGAAAGTCCGTCAGTGTTAAGATCCACTCCAAGCAGCTGCTTCTCAGGACAGAATATGCATGAAACACATCTATAATTTCTCTCATTAAGGGCTTTGGTTTTTTTTTTTTTTTAATGGTATATAATGGATAAGAAGCAGCTGATTTGATAGGAATAGTGAAGGCTCGTTGAAGCCTGTGGAAAAGATACAGCTAGATACAAGGACTCAAGCAAATTGCTTTTAAATTTACAGATAAATGGACTATAAGAAAATCACGGATGAAGTTGGAAAAAAACTTTTGTCGTACCACCAAGATACTTCAGGATGGAGAGTGATAAAAATTTCAGTAAGAAAATGTTAATACTATTTCTATTGCATCTATTTTGTTGTTAAAAAGTGCTTACAATTTCTTTTTGCTTTAAAGAATAGTTGAATACTTTTTATCAATTCCTAACAAACTTTTTTTTTTTTTTGAGAAAAACGTTACAGTTGCTTCAAAACCTTCAAAAGAGTATTCAGGAAACCTGTAAGTACTTACATTTTGTTTGTCATTGTAATGACGATGAACTTCACTCTTTAAGGGTGCCACTAGCTGACTAGAAAAGCTAATTATACCCTATTCTTCCTAAAAGTGTTAAGTTAAAATTTGTTGGCTGTAAAAAAGCTGCTGCGTGTTGTTACGCAGGGTCAGCCACAGTGCTGGCATCGAGAAGAGATGGGTTTCCCAAGTAATTTTCAAAAATGCTGTGGAGATTAAATGTTGAACAACAGCTATTATTATGGAATAAGTAAATGTGGAAACACAATTTTAGCCTGAACTTGGCAGCTCTTCCTGGCAGGAAAACTCTATTCAAACCATTGCATTTCCATTTCCCTGTCCACCTCTTTATCCTTATGAAATGACTGCTATCCACACATGTAAACATGCTTTCTCACTCTCCCTTATCTGTCCTTTTTTTTTTTTTGTTTTGCACTTCTTTCCAGCATCTGAAACGGAGCACATTGGATCAGCAATGAGAGGCTCACACAGCCTCTGGGGCAGCAGCTTTAAGCTATGAATTCTGTGCAGCTTTTGTTAAGGAGATGGATTTGGCCCAAAGAGTGGAGTTAGGTGAGGCAGACCAGGCTGGTTGTCACAACTTGCTGTCACCAAGGGAGCTGGTGCTGCTCCCTAGCAATGCTGCCCTCCCTCCCTACCCCTCTCTGCAGTCCTGCTTCTCCTTCACGATCCCTTAGTCATCCCTTAGTCATCTCTTAGTGACCAGAGTGGGAAAAAAATTCATCCAGAAAAGTCTTTTATGTGTGAAAGGAGAAGCAAAAGATGCACGCATGACATGGCCTGAGCTTCTCTTTTTTTTTTAGTTGCCTAATGGTTGTTCAGTCATGTGAAACATCAATCTAGACAGATAAACAGTAGAGAAAGTTCCCATCTGGTCTTTTTTTCAATTATTATTACAAATACGATATGTTCCTGAGCAGTGGTATTTTAAATCAAAAATCTTTTTTTTTTCTGAGAGTTTTAATAATAAAGTTATTCACTACAGAACTCAATGCTGTAACAGCACTGCTGAAGAATCGTACTGTAGTACTATAATGAAAAATAGCTGTACCACCTCATTGGAAAACGTTAAGAATACTGTTATTTTAATATAAATTTGTATAGTTTAGCAGTGGCATTATCTCTTCTCCAACTCAACATCTTACCCAATACAGGTGAATACAAGTGAGCAAGAATCTGGATGCCTAGAATTTTTGGCCAAACTTGTTTCCATGGAAGAAAAAGATATGTTATAGTCTCAATCAGTCACATAATCATTTTAGCTGTACCAAGTAGCTTTGTCTGAGTAAATTCTTTGCAGTTAGAAGAATCACCATGGTGCATTCTGCCCTTTTGTTTAGGAAGCCCCAAATCTGCCATTTCCTCTTTTTTTTTTTGTAGAAATCTTTATATGGAGCTCTGAGGAGGTGCATTGGTCCTTAGCATGTTTGACATTGGGTGTTTATTAACCAGGTATTGCAAGTGCCAGCTTCCTTTTCAGTAACTGACAGGCGTATTAACAGTTTGCCAGCTCCCAGGGGTCAATATGTGATCTGGTAGTGAAAGCAAATGCAAATCCTGCCCTCAGGTAGGCCGAGTGCCCTTCCTTTTATTCCAGCACTTGTATTTTTCAGAGGCCTTGCGTAGAGGAAACCCTTCTGACTAACACTGAGTTTAGGAGAGAAGATATTACAGGATGGAGGCAAGAGCTGCTCACGAGATTGGTAAACACGATAAGTTCACGGCAGCTGTGGCAATAAAGGGTGTATCCAAATATTCATACGCTGATTTTAACTGGCTCTGCCACAGCTTACATTCCCTGTTTTTCAGCAGATGTGAACATGTGTGTCCCATCATCATCCGTACCTGTTGTAGCTACTGGAGAATCAGGTTTCTGGAGCAGACACGTACACCCACGCAGCACTCACTCCACCAAGGCAGTAAATTGTTGCAGAGTGCAGAAACATACCTGTAATTTTACAAGGTCCGCTGTGCTTGGTTTTACACCTGTCTTTACATTTTCTTTCTTTTTCCTTCTCTCCTCCTGGCTTACATTCATACATCATCGGCGTCTGCGCGTTTCTGGTCTCATGAAAACATTTGTGAGCACGGTCTCTTCCTGAGCACATCTGGTTCCTGCAGCATCCTTCCCCTGCGAGGGTAATTGCTGCCCGTGGGTGCTTAGCTGTGATTCAGAGTTTCTCCAGAAACTGGATGTGAGAACTGGCCACGTTCGTGAGCAGCTGCCAGCGCTGCAGGAGCTTCCTGCTTCCTTGCTAGGGGCTCTGTTTCCCACCCGAGCCCCTTCTCGAGATTCCCAGAGGATTATGGACCACAATTTGAGAAATGCCAGAATACACTAGATTACAAATCTTCTCACTGTTTGTTGTCAATATCAAAATGGATTTTGAAAGTTTTCATCTGGAAAAAGATAAGTTAATGGATAAGTATTGTTACACCTGTTTGAACAAATAGGTTTCTATCTAGCACTTGACAATAAAAAAGTCATTTAAAATGCCTGCTGTCAAAAACATAATATTCTCACAAAAGAGTTACAGAAGAAGTATTGTTATTTGAAGTTCAATCAATCCAGCAAGTGCTTTAGCTCATTGTAGCCCGGCTTAACCAACTGCTAGATCTTTACTGTTGTATAGCTCCTTTTCTAATTCACAAATGGGAATTAATAATTTGCTTTTGTTTTTTATTAAACCTAGATACCGTGGAGAAGGGATAATTAAGGAAGTCCCTAGTAAAATTATTCCTTTTATGTATCTTCCTGAATATCGAAACAAGTGGGACAAAGCCTTGCAATCCTACACGCTGTTAGAGAAGATTGACCAGGTAATACAATAATTCCATTGAATGATTAAAAAAAAATCTTTCTGCCTTAATTGTTGTGATTAAAAAGACTTCTCTAGGATTTCAATATGAAATATATTCTAATTTGGTAAAAACTTTTTAATTTCTAAATGTGCTAGCTGGTATGAGGCAGGTATGAATTGTGTTTTCTCCTAACCCTTTAGGAGTATTTATTATAAAATAAATAACCCTGAGCATGTCAAGAATTCAGTGGATGGGAAACATCAGAAGTCTCCATCAAGTCTCTCATCAAAGATGAGACAAAATCAGAGCAAAACTGAGAGAAAGGACCTTTCTCTGAGTTAGTGTGGCTAGCACCAATTAAAAAAAATACTCTTCTGGCTTGTCGGGGGTAAAGCAGGCGTTTGAGAAGTTAAATGTACAAAATGCAAATAGCCTCAGGACTGCTTGATTGTGTTTGTGTGGAAAAAAACAGGTAATTTTTATGTGAACACAACTACTATAGACAAGAATTTGATTGCACTCTAGGGAATCTACCGATGAGATCCTTCTTAATTTATGTTAGTATTATAGATGCTATAGTTGGATACTGTCATGCATTCTGCTAGATGCTGAGCTATTTTAGATACACTTAAAGTCAGGGATAGCATGGAAATTGAATTGATCCTGTACTAGTGCAGTGAAATACTGCATATTCAGAATTCCAGATCTTTTTGGCTTCCCCTCTAAAAACCATGAAAAGTACCAGCTTGTAGCTAACCATTTGAAAGAGATGGCCCTGCAGGTGCTTGAGAAACGGCTGAGAACATATTACCCCAGTGTCAATGACTCAAATGTGTGACAGCGCTCTCCACACTGAGAAAGCAAAAATATTCCCCTTTTCTGCAAAGCTTTCACTTCTCTCTGCCCTGGATCTGCCAGTTTGTCAGATTTGTGTAGATTTGCAGTTTGTATAGTGCTGCCCACGTAACTAAAACTTGGCTTCTTATCTGTTAATTCAACAAATGACATTTATTTACTTGTAGGATACCGGTATATATCACAGTGTAACACATAGTTATGGCATGGGACTGATCTCGTCACGAGATTTTGTTGACTTGGTGCATGTTAAACCCTATCCTGGTGGTATCCTTACAACTAACTGTAAGTCTTACAAAACTACTGCATGTTTATGTATTTTTGCTGCAGTCTGGCAATTTTAATATGAATTGTTAACCAGTTAGTTCAGCGGCTCAGTCACAGTATATAGTAGTTGCTCCATGTGTGGTCATACCAAATTAACAAACCGTTTTTTTAAGAAAATGTCATATTGCAACTGCTAAAATTGATCTTTAGAAAAATACTGTGTTCTTTATTCTAACACAATAAGCTCTTGACACGTCTGCTAGCAAACTGACTACTTTGTTCAGAACTAAACCACAGCGCAGCACTAGGTATATGCAAACACATCTCAATGATAATACCTTTGGGCATACCTGTCCAAACACCTGTAGAAATTTCTACATACATTGAATTATTTGCACAAGTATTTAATGTCATTTGGGCATTTTGCCTACAGAATACCATTACTAAACATTCTGCTGATCATGTTGTGGCTTTTTTTTTTCTTTTATATAAAAATTCTCTTCTTGAGTCACATTTTATATATATAAAATAACTAATTTGATGCTACTTTTTCTTATTTTTATGTGGCGATACAGCTGTGAGTGTGGAATATTCAGGATGCCCTCCCTCTCCTTCTTGTGTCCGTGGCTTTAACAATCCTTGTGGGTATGTGTGTTCACCCTTGCCAGAGTAAGTATTTAAATTCACCTTGTGTTATTATCTTCGATTATTCAGTTACCATCTCTACGCAAAACTTAATAAAAGCCATATAAGAGCTTTTTATTGAGCTAGTTATGGTCCAGGGAAACTTCACGGTTTCCTGGAGGTCAGTTTTCTGGCTCAGACAATCTCCTTTTGAAACTATTTAAGGAACCTCACGAAATGTATAATAGCCAAAGTTCTCATCGTGGGAACTTTATCCATAATTCATTCTTTCATATGAGTAATAAGACTTCAGAGATGGACAATCCTAACTGGCATTTCAGTAAGTTTAGCAGCAAGAGCAGGGAGTGCTAATTGAAGGCTTCTGTTCTTTTTCATCCTAGGAACCCCGAGCATTCCAAGTTAGTTGTATATATTCAGCCAGAATTAGGCGGAATGCTTCCCTACTCTGTGGTGGAGACAGCAATACCTACTACTCTCATAAATTTAATCACAGAAACGAGAGCTGGATTGAAAGGCTTGAAAGACCATAATTAAACACAAGTGAAAATTAATACGCACTTATGCCATGTGCATTTTGATCTGGATTAATTTTTAATACAGGATGAAGTTTAGTATTTTAATTGTGGATTATGTGGAAATGTGTAAAGCTTATCTGTTAAATATTAAATTATGAATGCTATTTTTTTCTGCTCTTGGGAGTCATGTCAGAATTTATACTGAAGTGCCATCAAAAATACAGGATCTAGCTTTCATTGTAATCCCGTGATGTTTTGTAATATTTTTGCACTTTACATATAGTTACGTGTGAATATGGTGGTGTAAATTACGGCAATGTTAAAATACAGTAATCAAAAATATTTTACCATAGCTTTAAACACATTTTGATATTTTTTTACCTCAAAAGTATGTACTTTTGACCGACATAAGCAAATATCCCGCATACTACAGATTTTAAATATGTTTATTTCTACAACTGTGTAACAGCAACTAGCCCCTCTTTCAGTGTTTTGGAATTAAGCATCCAAAAAGTCGCCTTATGAACTCAACTTTATGGCATCTCATTAAAAGCTGCTCTGTAACTCAGTCGTGTCTTTTCATGAATCCTGAAGACCAAAGCCCCAGGCATTTTTTATATGCTGCACACTGTCCAGGAATAGTCTGGTGACACATTTTATATACATATAATATTATATCATAAGTTTATATATATATGTATATTTATTTCAGCCTTAGCCTTGTAGTCTAATGCTTCTAGTTACCAGTTAATGGCAGGAAGTATTGACAAATCTGGCAGAAAGTTTACCAGTCACAGAAGCAAAGCTGTAAGCTAAAAGAATAGTGTGTACCCAGATTTCAGCTCTAGAGCTTCCTGCCCTCCCACATGGCTAATAACACCAAACAATAAGTAATACAAATCAACAAAATATAAATTCAAAAGGTGTTTTTCTTCCCTGCAGGCAGTGTGTGACATTATTAACAGTGAATACACAATGGCATTTTTTCCAAACCGAACTAGTATTTTAGGACAATGTAAGATTTATCAAATTGTGCTTACAAAATAAGGGGCAAGTCTAAAAGTCTTAAAGAAAAACAAGATGGGCTAATTACTCTTTAAACAAACAAACAAACAAACACTAGCAGTGATTACGTCTGGTTACCAAAATATACTTTTAATATTTACATCTTTACAATCTACATTGTTTTCCATAAAGTGAACTGTCTTTAGTGCCCATTCTTGTAGTGCCTATTCTTGTAGTGCTCCTTCATTCTGAAAGTGTTTCATTTTGGTTTAAAATATCGTAGTAGACTGTTAGACTGTGACAGACATGATGCTGTATTCTTTCTTCCTCTGTTTGCTTTAGGCTTTTCAGGGCGTTTGCCCACAAACATTTTGGATGCGAGTTCTTGATTCTTCCATTCAGCTAACAGTTCTGCTTGCACAGTTGCAGGGAGTTCAAAAAAAGTCTCTGGGTCAACATGAGGAGGAAATGCAATTCCCTCTCTGTTCCCAGAGGCTTCAGCCTCAGAGGTCATTCCAAAGGCTTGCTCATCCTCACCCAAGCCAGGGGCAGGCAGAGCAGTTTGGCAGGCTCCAGCTTCCAGAGCCAGCATGTCTCTCTCTCTGAAATCCACAGGGTTCTTAGGCTTTTCTTCCGTATCAGCATCCAGCAGCGTATTTCCAGGATACTTGGAAGAACAACTGGCACTGGAGCTGTGTGCCAAAAGGCTTGCAGAGTCACGAGCCCCTGTGAAGTGTATGCTGCACCCCGGGGCGTTCGTGTCATTACTTACTCTTTTGGAACTTGGAGAAGCGCTATTTATCTCTTTTGGAAAACACAGTGATGGTTGACTAAAAGCATTTTCTGTGGGGATCATTTTTCCTGATCTTTCAGAAATTATTTCTTTCTTAATATCTTCTGGAAGTTCCCTGAAGACTTCCTGGTCAATGTCATCAGGAGACCAATGAAATGGAAAGTTGGGAGTTCCAGCCTTTCTTTTACGGCTTTGCTTTTCTTCTGAAGAACTGGTAATACACATTGGTGTATTTCCAGTTCTGTTGAAATTCTCATTCCAAGAACTTGCCTGTCCTTGTGAGACATCTTCCCTTTCCTGGGATATGAGAGGCACATAGATTAAAAAAAAAAAAACACATAAGCTCCAGTGTGTAGAGCTGTGTAGAGCTCTGTTCAATGCGGAGCAGGAATCAGAAGCTCAAGCAGATGAGAAGCCAGGGCTAGTGGCCAGCAGAGAACTGAATCTTTGACTGATTTCTAGTCTGAACAGGGAGACTTATGAACACAGAGAAAGTGGGATGATCAGATCACTCTAAATGCATTTTTATAATAGCAACAAGATAGATTACAAACATCAGTGAGATTTTATCTGAGGTAAAAATTAAACTTCAGGTTTAAATCAACTCCACCAGAATTTGATCTGTATACGGCTACTACATAAATATTAGCTGCAGCATTTTCATGTAAAATATGGAAAGATACACTGGCCGAGTGGCTT